CGATTATGATCTTTCAACTAACATCACTAGATTATAATCTTCTAACTACTGTTACTCAACCATGACCATGTAACCACTATTGCTCTACTATGATTTTCTAACCATTATCACCAATTGTCGCTCAATTACACCAACACTTATAGAATTTATTATTTGTTTTCACTAATAATATCAACACACACCATCACCTAAAAAATTGATGCACACCATTTAACATCAAATCTAACACACAATATGATTTTTTTTCCTTTTTATTTAATTTTCATATAAAAAATTTTAGTGTCTCTAACAACTCATCTTTTATCTATATATTGAATCTTCCCACAAATTTATTAAGATACAATGAAGAAAAATAATCCATATTAACGACCCCAACAATAGAATAAATGCTTGTTTTTGTTATTATAGCTACATGATGAGCCACCCAATCAAACAAAACCAAAACTACTGAAAATCGGCCCCACAAGTAAATACATAAGGATAGTTGCATGCATTAGCTCAATAATACCATCATTTGACATAACATAGCTTTCACTAATAGAGATTGAATAATAGGGATGAAATCAGAAAGAGCTCAGGGCGGACAATTGCCCACCATAAAATTTTTACTTTTTTTTTTTAAATAAACATTTTAACTATTTTGCCCTCCTTCAATAAATGCAATTGCTCAAATTCTAAAATATAAAAAAAAACATTTCTATTATATAAATAAAATTATATATTTCATAATATTATTTTACTTATCCTAAAAAAAAGGGAAAATTATTATGTGTGGTGTTCAGACGCGTCCGAAGACTAATCCAGACGCACCACGTTTGTGTATTGGGTGATGTGACGTGTCCGAACACCTCACAAAATAATCTCTACAAAAATAGAGGTCAATTCGGCTCATGTGGACCACTAACCTTGAAGCTTGATCTATGAAGGCCCTTCCTGTGCATATAATTTCTCTTGTTAATACCAAAAATATATTTAACATGTACCAGACCATCATGGCTTCTTTGCTGAAGGAAATTATGCAGTATATATGACCATTCACTTGCTGCAACCGTTGCTGTAGCCTCTGGAAAAGCAGGTTGTTTGCTAACGATTAATGGCAAATTAGCAAACCTAGAGAAAAATTGAATGGCCAAACTCTCATTTGACAAGTAATCTATATTTTCCAGAGTGAACAGCTCAAAGAAGGTGCTGTGATGGCTCTTGTGCACCAAAATTGACAAAAACAAGGGTGAGATTGACAGTGTCCTGCAACACAGAAAGCCAGCCATTGCCGTTCTAATGTTATCCTGTTCAGCTCTCAAGCACTATACCTTCGCTGCCACCATTTGGTTCCTGAATAGCCATGAGTAATAGAACAAGTCTATTGTTAAGTTCTTTATCAGCGACAAAATGTTGATCAGCGATAGAAAAAGATATGGAAGTTGAGGCTACATTGACGTTAATATTTCATCCACCCTCTATTTTAGGTCTCTGAAGCAAGGAACAACTGCTAACGTGTCCACCATTGACAAAATCTACAAATTCCCTTGAGTTCATGCTGTCAAAAAACCTGCTAGCCATTGCCTGACAGCCTCCTTCCTCACCATCATGGAAAATAATTTTGTGCGGACATCGAACGGTCCGGAGATCAACCAAATCGCGCCACATCACCGATACCGAGCAGTACTGATCACCGGTACCAAACAAAAAAATGATGTGGCACGTTCTGATTGGTCTTCGGACACCGTCCGGAATCTGCACAAAATAATTTTTCATCATCATAAGCTGCAGGAACCATATTATCATTTTACTATTTGGCTCGGGCTGCTCAACGCTATCAATCTTCAGTTCCCTAATTCATTTTGCACTTAGATTTTACCTATTTTATAACTTTTTTTACACAACTTCTATCCATGTTACTTTTCTATGATCCCTCTTTCCTTCTTAATCAATCAACATTAATGTTATCGACTGATTCTATAAATCATATTCTAAACTTTATTGTATATGCCCAAATCAACTAATTCCATCCTCCATTATTTTTAATAGATGCCACTTCCACTATTCATTAATTATTTATTAATTTATCATTCATAGATCTGATACGCATTCAACCTAACTTTCTCATTTTTGCTAAATTGGGACAGCTTCAGACTACTACTTTTTCTCTGCTTTCAAGATATTCAACTTCTCCTACCACCATCATTCAATCCCAACAATAAGCCTCCATAACAAGCCCCGATCAAGCCTACCAAGGTCAAATAATTGGGAAGCTGTGCTTTGTCACTATTGCAAAAGGGCAAAACATATACAAGGCACATTAAAACTCCAAGAAAAGCATCCATGCAACGAAAAATAAACCTCCATACCAAAAACCAGTCTGATCAACATTAAGCCCACACTTCTATGAAGGAAAAAGACAAACCATCTGCAGAAATAGGTCAAAAAAAGAATAAATAGAAAATATTTGTACCTTCTTAACAACTCTGATCAAACTAATAGATATAAGCTCCATGGCTCAATCAAATCATTATTCCACTTCATACATCTCAAATGTTTCTGATTAAGTTTAGATACCAGATCCAGAAGCAACATCTCATATCACAAACTCTTAATATAAATTATCTTTCTATAAACAATCCCCATGAAATCAAAATAATAAAAATAGCAGATAAAATCTTGGCTAACATTGCTAGAAAAGGATGTATAATAGGAAGAAATATTTTAATCAAACCCTATTCTCTTTTATCCAAGAACAAAAGCATTATCCATGAATCCTCCTGTATCAAGAACCTATAATAAAATAGGGTAGAAGAAAGAAAAAAATCTGTCAGCTTCTTGAAACCACTAGGGCCATACCCTATGAAAGTAAAATTTCAATATTTTATTGGGAAAAATTGCCTTGATTGTCACATTTCTTAAAAGCAGCTCTAATAATAATTGCCTAAATCTTTACTACAAGGAGGAAAGAATCCAAACCTGAATCAAAGCTTACTCAACCATCTGAATGTATGAAAGATCAGCCACCAAACAATGAAGGTATGTACCATATCTATGTGACCTAAATTGAGAATGACATTTGTTTTCCTATTGCTCTAAGAATGAGAAAATGCACCCAGAACTCAATCACCAACTTTATTTTTGTTACTAAGCTTTACCATACACAAATCCTTCCTCACTTAAATAATTAATATAGATATTTAAAGAAGCACTTCAGAGTTCAGAATAAAGAATTTAAAAAAAAAAAATCAAGATTGAAAAAATGAGGGTAGATGGAAGAATTAGTAAGAGAAAAGAAATTAATTAGTAATGGGCATACATTGTCAAGTACAATACAAAAGAGACACAAAATTCATAAGCTATATCTCCCTGCAAAAATGTTAAATGCTATACTAAGACTTACAAAATTGATCATAGAGAAATTTTTGCACCAACGGCAAAACTAAATAGCATTTGGGTACTTTTATCCCTGGTAGCCAACCACAACTAATCTTTACAACAGTTAGATGTAAAGAATGCATCTCAGTATGATAATCTAGAAGAAGAAGCTTATTTAGAACCCCCGCTAAGTTTTGATCAAGGATTCCAAACTGACTATGTAAGTAGGTTAAAGAAGGCCTTTTATGTAATCAACCAATCTCCAAAAGCATAATTTAAGAGTTTCAAAAATTCATAGAAACGATGAACTTCAACCAAATAAAAAGATCCAAAGAAGGTAAAATTAAAATTCTAATTGTTTATGTTGATCACATAAACATTATAGGTCAACGTAATGAGAATATTAAAAGACAAAATATGCAAATAATTTACAGATGCAGTAAGACAAATATTTCCTAGGAATGGAGGAAGTGACTCACTAAAAGCTGGGATCTTCATCCCCCAACCAAAATACATCTCGTATCTACTTAAGTAAAATGTATGATGGGATGCAAGGCATCTGAAATTCTAACAGGTTATTACCATAAACTTGGCGAGGTAGTTGAGAGCCCAAAAGTTAACAAAGAAAGGTATCAAAAATTGATTGAGAAACTCATTTACCTTGCCCAGACAAGGCTAGATATAGCATACATCATAAGTGTTCTAAGCCTATTCATATATAATACTAAATAAATTCATCTACAAACTACATACAAAGTAATTCAATATCATCTATGATGCACGGACATGGACACGTCGACACAGACACAACACGACAAGGACACAGCATTTTTTTGAAAATATAGGACATGAGTACGACACGGACATGACATTACATTTTTTTTAATATAGTGTATATATATTAATGTTACATCATATTAAAAATGACAAACAATAATAAATGAATGGCATGATAATTTGTCTAGCTTATAATATAAAATATTTAGTACAACCACAAAAATATAAGCAAATAACTACATACTACAACATCAATCATTCAAGCTTTAACTACTAAGATTAGCTTCAAAGGTTTGTTTTTGGCCTTCAATATCATCATCATTGAATAATTGCTTCCAATTATGATTCATCAAGAGAAAAATTTGCACGAGTTCATTGGATATTATATAATAAAAGTTGGTTCTTTGTATCTATTTACTTCTCTAGTTCGCTAGATCTCTCCCATAATATTTCTTTATCCTCTAATCTAAATCACAAAAAATAAATCTATTTACTTCTATACTTCTCTAGTTCTCTCTCATAATAGTTCATTGGATATCATATATTTATAATTAAAATAATTTTATCATAAAAAATAGGACACACGTGTCCCAGCTGTGTCCGACATGTGTCCCAGCTGTGTCCGAAATGTGTCCCATCTGTTTCGGGTTAAATTTAAACATTATTTTAATCTGACACGTGTCTGTCGTGTCCAACACGTGTCCCAACCGTGTCGGGCATGTGTTCATGTCTGACACGCGTATGACACTGCATTCTCTCTTCAAGAGGTGTGTCGGTGCATCATAGAGTATCAACAGGGTTATAAGAAATGGAAAACCTAAGCTTAAATTTATCAAAATAAGTAAATCAAGCAAGGAATGAGGATATTGAGAAAACTCATCCATATTTTCATAATGCCGTGAAATATTTCATATTACATCATGCAAAATTCTATAATTTACCCATGCTTTTAATTGTATAAAAACCTAAAAAGTTCTAACAAAAATCATGCCATGCATAAAAGAAGACTTGAAGCTATAAACAAGCATTTCCCACTTTATCTATCAAGGAAATAGAATTAGTCTAACAATTCCTTGCATTACAGCATACACTTGCATTATCAGCAACCATTCAAATGGTAAATTAAGAAGTCCTAACCACACTATATTTAGACTTTTTCAAAGTAACGGTTTTACTGGGAATTGTTAGGCCATGAAACAGTTTCTTGTGAACTCTGGAAGTCCTGTCGTGGATTATTGAAAACTTTTTGTAAACCATCCTGACCCACCGGTGGAGACGTTCCCCTCTGCATGGGTTCCCTTCTTTCCACCTGCACCGTCTCTTGGCGCCTATCATATCGAGGTCGTGGCCTGATCCTGGGAGATTGTTGTCTATCAGTAAATCGAAATTGTGGCCTATGAATGACTTTACCATCAACGAAAAGATCTCCTGTTGCAATACAATAAAAACAGGCATCACCATCATCATTATTAGCATCAACCCAACAATTTAAGGTTGGCTTTATTTATTTCCTCCATCAATCATTCCTACTGAGTACTAAATAAAATTTAAAATTACTTAAAGCAATATTCTTAGCCCATGATATTAATGGCACCTGTTCTTCCTTCCTAACCTTAAAGTCGACTCATGGGTGTACCTTAAGCCCTTTATTGTAAATGACCAAATAACTTATATCAATTCAAAATCCTAGTTATTCAAAAACAAATTGTAAATGATCTAGCAGTTTAAATATTTTCAACATGCTAGCTATTCACAAACATAACAAAAAAGCTAACTGCAAAATGAAGAGATTCAGACTCACTTAAACCTAACTTATAAACTACATTCTGCAATACAAAAACTCCTGCTTCTACCAACCTCCATAATCCTTGTTTGGCACATCAAGATAAGAATCGGGCAGCACCCACAGAACTCCCGGAAGTCCTGCCAAGTAAAAGTTTTACAAAGAAACTATCACAAGAACGATTCAAGAAGAAACAAATAAAATTATCCAAAATTTATTTTATGCTCATTCCCAATCATTCATATTATATAATAAACTAATAACGACGAAAAAAGAAAGAAAGCGAATTGGTTTTCTTTGCAGAATCCCTCCCTAAAGTCAATAAACAAAAGCATGCGGGTCAAGCTCATACCTTTAACTTTATAAGAGATTTCCTCCGAGATCAATGCACCAAAGCCCGTGTAGGTCGTGGTACAAACAGAGTAAATCTTCTTCTTGGCCTCCTCCTCGCTGACACCCCAACTCGTCCAACAACAAGGTCAATAACAAAATTATCGAATAAAAGTGAAAAACAAATATTTTGCGCTTTCTACCTTCCAACGACCGCAGTAAGGGTCTTAACATAGGCGGCAACCATCTCCTCCTCCGAGGGTTTAGGGTTTTCCGGAAACTCCATTACAATAAGCCAGTGCTCGTAGTCGCAGCCGTCTAGAAGAATCGTCTCCTTAGGGGGTCGATTACTCCAATTGGGCGAGGAATCCTTGATTGGAGAATAGCCAGAGCCTGAAGTCGTCTTCCAGCGGATAGGCGATGAAGTCAGCGGGGAAGCCACCCGCCGAAGCCTCTCAACGGCGGAGGCGGCGGCCGGGAGGCGAGATGGTAGAATGGAAGGAGACGATGGGTTTAGGGCTCGGGAAAGGAGGGACGATATGCTGCGTCGAGCCATCGCTGCCATAAACGATGACTGCTCGAGGTTTTTGGTTACGAGGAATTTTGGGAAGGTTAGAATCTAAGCGCTTGCTTTTGCTCTATAAGCTATTTTTAGAGCTTTAGAACAATATGGATTTGGTTTAAAAATTATTTAAAATTTGTCCAAATTTTAAATTTAAGCCCAATTTTTACATATATATTTAAAATTTATTTTATTTAAAATTTTCATAATTAAATTTAGCTTGCATTTGAATTTTTTAAATTAATAATTTAATCAAATGAATATTTAAATTAGCTCAAAAAGAAAACGAGTATTTAGCTTCTTATAATAACATATAATTTTATAAATATAAATAAACAAGCAATTTAATAATATAATTTTTTTAGAAAATAATAATAATATAAATCATCTAATTATTTATTTGATGCTAAATAAACAAGCATCATTAAAAAGATGATCAATAAAAATAACTTATTTTGTAATCATATAATATAAACAAGACAAAAAAAAATTATCTATTGAAATAGAGAAATAATATTGTATTGTATTAAATCTATATGAAAATTAAATAATAATCAATTAATTAATTTAAAAAATTTTAGACTGCTAAAAAATAAACATATAATATATACCTAATTAAGAAATATTATGATTCCACATTTTTTTTTTTTTTTGAGAAAATTACAAGTGATTAAAGAGGTATAAGAAAGAAAAAAAGAGGCATACAAAAGGCCTCAAGCCCAAAGAAAAGCTGCCACAAGGCTCACATAAGAGAATGACATGAGAGAAAAACAAACAAAGCAAACAGCTTTGTCTAAGAAGCAAGAAAAGACTAAAAGCCAAAAATGTACTCAAAATGGGCAAAACTATATCTAAATTGGGCTAAACTCCCTTGATTGCCAAATACGACCATCAAAGAAGCAAAAAGGGGTTGCCAAAGCGGCCATCCAAGGGGACTTTGAAATGGATGTAAATAATTCATTGTCATATTGCCAATAGAAGCCAGCATATAACCAAATAAGCAATACTAATTGTAGCCCCAAAGACAACAAAATAGCCCAAACATTTCAAAAAACTATACAATGCACAGCTTCCATCCTCTAAAAAGCTGCAAAATGACTCTAAAACCGAGCCAAAAGAGCAACATGCACTAGCCAAAATGAATGCAAGTGCCCAATAACATTATCTAAGTTCAAAAAAATATGATATGAAATGTTCTATGTATGATTTTCAATTTATTCATCTGCTCAATATTATTTTTTTTATTGGATAACTGCTTTGCTCGTATTACATTTCTTAGTACAATAATTTATTAGATTGTATTTAACTAATTTTAAATATTTAATAAAATGTTTAATAAAATAATTTTAAAAAATTTTATCAATTTGTGTGGCATGTTAAGCTGTTGTAAATTTCTATAATTTTTCTTATGATTTTCAGGATCTAGGAAAGGAGAGGAGCTTGTGAATTAGTAGTTCAGGATTGATCAGAGTTTATAAGTTTTTCTCTATTTTGATTTTTGTACAATCATGACTAATTTATTATTCAGTCTACAGTTTCTGCATGTAAACATATATTATAATATAGATACATTTTAATGAAATAATAAAAAAAAAATCTTATATATGAGTTTATTTTTAATGTTTGGATATTTTAGTAGCTATGTAGTCTATAATTTATTTAAAATGAATATTAGAAGATACACTGAAATATTCCAAAGCTAGATATTAGATTTGTCTGTCACAGCTCAACACGATAGGACCTATCCTGATTGCGCTGGATTGTGACACCACATCACCCTCAATCTTTTCTCTTACCACCACCTCCCTGATTTATCACCTAAACTATCGCTCAAATCCATTTCACCACTTCCCACTAAACCCTAAGAGGAATCACAATTTCAAACCCTATTCATGTATCACGAAAGAGGACAAGAGGTGCAACAATAGTCGAAGAGGAAAACGAGGAAAAATGGTAAAGCAAATATTACATAAGATGGGAGAAGACGAGAAATAACTAATAGTATGTTAAATATAAGATCTCAGGCACAATTAGTTAGGCTAAACTTAAATAGAGTTCATTGCACACTTAGATTTTTCTTATTTTTCTCAATGAAAGAACATAAGCCACACTCGGCTTAAAAAATTCACAAAATTATGTTTGGCTAAGAGATTGAACTTTGAGGGCAATATATTCTGATATTTTTTGAATTGATGGTTATTTTTTAGGGTTAATATGAGTCCTGCAATAGTACATTTTATTTCAATAAACTTGCTCTTTTTATATCTTATTTTTTATTTTTTGTTTTGTTTTGTTTTTTTTTTTCTTGTAGATGAATAGGTCGGAATACCATTTCACCAAGTGATTTGGATGATGGGTTGCCAGTTTTTGTTGCTGGGATGGATGTTTTTGGGATAGCTGTATTATAGTTCTTGCCATTTTGTTTTGTTTGGTTTCAAGGTTTTCGTGGTTTCTACTTTCTTGCTTGCCTGTTATGGCAAGATTCTATTGGATGAAGGTTTCGGGTGTTGGATTTTTAATAATTTGGCGATGATGAGCAAGGCCGAATCCATTCATTCTAGCTATGGATGGTCTGTGAGGAAACCTGGCTGTGGGACTGAATGGAATTTTGATGTCTGCGACTGGAGGTTCTATGATGGCCATCCAATCATCTTAAATGTTCTGATGCTCTGTTCTTATTTTCCTTCGGTTTATTTTGGCAACATGAGCCTTCTCCGCTGCCATGATGCTATCATCTAATAGATTTTGATGATTGAGTTCTGATCTTATATCTCTGAGTCTTTTGATTATTATTTTTTATCCCTTACCGTTGTTTTTCTAGGTGGTTTGGTGGATTTAATTGTTGCCATTTCTTTTTTTACCTTATAGGTTTACCAGTAATTGATTCTTTAATACATGGGCTTTTGCCCCGGGTTTTCCCAAAAAAAAAAAAAAAAATCTTGACCATTGGTGAGCAAAACGCTATACTTGAATTAGTTTATTTTAAATTAGGAAAAAAGACAAACCAGCTGCAGAAATAGGTCAAAAAAAGAATAAATAGAAAATCATTGTAATTCTGACCAAACTAATAGATAATTTAGAAGAAGAAGCTTATTTAGAGCCCCCGCTAAGTTTCGATCAAGAATTCCAAACTGATATGTAAGTAGCTTAAAGAAGGCCTTTTATGGACTCAAACAATCTCCAAGATCACAATTTAAGAGTTTCACCAAAGTCGTAGAAACGATGAACTTCAACCAAATAAAGAGATCCAAAGAAGATAAAATTACAAATCTAATGGTTTATGTTGATCGCATAAACATTATAGGTGATGATTCTAAAGTAATGAGAATATTAAAAGACAAAATATGCAAAGAATTTACAGATGCAGTAAGACATAAAAATTTCCTTGCAATGGAGGAAGTGACTCACTAAAAGCTAGGATCTTCATCCCCCAACAAAAATACATCTTGGATCTACTTATTAGGTAAAATGTAGATGGGATGCAAGGCATCTGAAATTCTAACAGGTTAATACCATAAATTTGGCGAGGTAGCAAAGAGCACAAAAGTTAACAAAGAAAGGTATCAAAAATTTATTGAGAAGCTCATTTACCTTGCCCAGACAAGGCTAGATATAACATATGTCATAAGTGTTCTAAGCCAATTCATGAAACAGTTTCTTGTGAACTCTGGAAGTCCTGTTGTGGATTAGTGAAATCTTTTTGTAAACCATCCTGACCCACCGGTGGAGACATTCCTCTCTGCATGGGTTCCCTTCTTTCCACCTGCACCGTCTCATGGCGCCTAGCATATCCTGGGATATTGATGTCCACCTGTAAATCGAAATCGTGGCCTATGAATGACTTTACCATCAACGAAAAGATCTCCTGTTGCAATACAATAAAAAAGAGGCATCACTATCATCATTATTAGCATCAACACAACAATTTAAGGTTGGCTTTATTTATTTTCCTCCATCAATCATTCCTACTGAGTACTAAATTAAATTTAAATTTACTCAATGCAATATTTTTAGCCCATGATATTAATGGCATACCCGTTCTTCCTTCCTAACCTTAAGCCCTTCATTGTAAATGACCAAACAACTTATATCAATTCAAAATCCTAGTTATTCAAAAACCATATTGTAAATGATGTAGCAGTTCAAATCTTTTCAACATGCTAGCTATTCACAAACATAACAAAAAAAAGCTAACTGTAAAATGAAACGATTCAGACTTACTTAAACCTAACTTATAAACTACATTGTGCAATACAAAAACTCCTGCTTCTACCAACCTCCATAATCCTTGTTTGGCACATCAAGATAAGAATCGGGCAGCACCCACAGAACTCCCGGCAGTCCTGCCAAGTAAAAGTTTTACAAAGCAACTATCACAAGAACGATTCAAGAAGAAACAAATAAAATTATCCAAAATTTATTTTATACTCATTCCCAATCATTCATATTATATAATAAACTAAAAACGAGAAAAAAAAAAAACAAATTGGTTTTCTTTGCAGAATCCCTCCCTAAAGTCAATAAACAAAAGCATGCCGGTCAAGCTCATACTTTCAACTCTATAAGAGAGTTCCTGCGAGATCAATGCGCCAAAGCCCGTGTAGGTCGTGGTACAAACAGAGTAAATCTTCTTCTTGGCCTCCTCCTCGCTGACAACCCAACCCGTCCAACAACAAGGTCAATTACAAAATTATCGAACAAAAGTGAAAAACAAATATTTTGCGCTTTTTACCTTCCAACGACCGCAGTAAGGGTGTCAACATAGGCAGCAACCATCTCCTCCTCCGAGGGTTTAGGGTTTTCCGGAAACTTCATTACAATAAGCCAGTGCTCGTAGTCGCAGCCTTCTAGAAGAATCGTCTCCTTAGGGGCAGAACTTCTCCAATTGGATGAGGAATCCATGATTGGATAATAGGCAGCGCCTGAAGACGACTTCCAGCGGATAGGCGATGAAGTAAGCGGGGAAGCCACCCGCCGAAGCCTCTCAACGGCGGAGGCGGAGGCGGCGGCTGGGAGGCGAGATGGCAGAATGGAAGGAGACGATGGGTTTAGGGCTCGGGAAAGGAGGGACGACATGCTGCGTCGTGCCATCGCTGCCATAAACGATGACTGCTCGAGGTTTTACGTTACGAGAAATTTTGGGGAGGGTTAGAATCTAAGCGCTTGCATTTGCTTTATAAGCTATTTTTATTAGCGCTTGCATTTGCTCTATAAGCTATTTTTAGAGCTTCAGAATAATATGGATTTAATTTCATTTTAATATTTTATCATTTTAAAAATTACTTAAAATTTGTTCAAATTTAAGCCCAATTTTTACATATATGTTTAAAATTATTTTATTTAAAATTTTGTCATTAAATTTAGTTTAAAATTAATAATTTACTCAAATAAATATTTAAATAAGCTGATAAATAAGCTCAAAAATAAAATGAGTATTCAGCTTCGTATAATAACATATAATTTAAAAAATATAAATGAACAAGCAATTTAATAATATAATTTATTTTGAAAAATAATAATAATAGAAATCATCTAATTATTTGACGCTAAATAAACAAGCATCAATTAAAAACGATGATCAATAAAATAACTTTTTTTGTAATCATATAATATACACAAAGACCAAAAAATTTATCTATTGATATAGAGAAATAAGATTGGATTGTATTAAATCAATATGAAAATTAAATAATAATCAATTAATTAATTTTAAAAAAAATTAGTGCTAAAAAATAAACATACAAAATATACCTAAATAAGAAATATTATGTGGGGAGAAATGATTACCCTTTAGTTTTTTTGGAAAATTACAAGTAATTAAACAAGTAAAAGAAAGAAAACAAGAGGCTTGCAAAAGGCCTCAAGCCCAAAGAAAAAGTGCCACATGGCTCATAAAAAATTATTAGGATTCCTCTCGAGACTAATAAAAATGCGTCACGTTGTGTCAAAAAATGTACTGCGCTTAGTGGTGAGCGCGAAACTGGACGATTCTTCCATCCTGTGTCCGCACAGAATAATCGCTCTAGAGCTCATAGAAGGACCTAAGAAAAAAAAAACCAAGCCAACAACTTTATGTAAGAAACAAGAAAAGACTAAAAGCTAAAAGTGTACTCAAAATGGACAAAACTACATCTAAATTGGGCTAAACTTCCCTGGTTGTCAGATACGACCATCAAGGAAGCAAAAATTGGTTGCCAAAGCGACCATCCAAGAGGTGTATGAATTGGATGTAAATAATTCATAGTCATCCACAATTGTCAACATAAGCTAGCAGATAACCAAATAAACAATACAAATTGCAAGCCCGAAGACAACAAAATAGTCCAAACATTACAAAAAGCTACACAATGCTCGGCTTCCATCCTCTAGAAAGCTACCAATGATTCTCAAACCGAGCCAAAAGATCAACATGGACTAGCCCAAATGAATGCAAGAGGCCACTAACACCCAACATGAGAGAGAATGAGTTTAGAGAGAGAGAGGAGGAGGAGTATTTGGACTGCTTCGGATCATTTTTAACTAATGAGCCAATTCTGAAAGTTATCCCGATTGGTATATGTGACATTTTGTCTCTCAATTTAAAAAAATACGAAGTTTCACCTTTTTTTTTGGATTAAATTTATATTTTCGTAATTGAAAATGAGGATGACTTTACATTCACGCTATAAATTTTTATATGTTATAGTGACATCAATTTTGAACATTTATATTTTTATTTTTTAGAATTTTTTACAAAGTATTTTGAAAAGTATGCTATTTTAATTACCTAAAAATTAAATTTGAACACAAAAAAAATAATTGATTTAGTATAATTGCAATTTCAAAACAACCTTCAACACAATCTCTGACAAATTGGTTAAATTTTGAAATGGTACATTATTCCTGCTCAGTAAAGTTTCTGCTACATATCCTTATAGCATTTTGTAAAATTTTGGAATGCCCTAATTTTTTGCTTTCCTTACTTTAATGAAATGAAATATGTGCTTCAATGTTTAATATCAAAAATTCCGAGGATGTGCGGAGGAAGAGAAAGTTTGGTCTAGTGCCTATAAGATATGTTATGGTGTCAAAAAGTTATATTTTGATTCGTACAAGTCATGTTATGGTGGCTAAGAGCAATGTTCTGACGTCTTCAGAAATGTTTTGGTACTATAAGCACACTCTGTTCTGGTGATGACTAGTGAGAGCTATAAGGAAGAATTTTATTACTTATTACTTTAAGATATAAAGTGTCTTTTTATTTACTTTCATGCAATAACATTTAAGTTTTTTTATTGCAATTGTCTTGAAATACTTTTATAATTTAGTTAACTATTGTAATAAATAAACTATTTGAAAATTCAGATCGGTTTAAACATAGATTGCTGAGCTGTGTTAGCTTACATATATTTCGCTTCCTGTTTTCAGGGTCTAAAAATGGAATGGAGCCACTCGAGTAGCAGTTCAGGATTGAATCTGAGTAGGTATACATACTTCCTTTTTCATTTGCTGGTAGATGATGATGAGTTTAGGTAAGAGTACTGAAGTATATGAGCGTTGGTTTGATCAGATTACAAACAACCTAACTATGAAGTGGATTAGATCATGGTGGCACTCTGGATGTTAAGAGGATGGTTTAGATGACCAAAACTTCAATCCAAGAGTAATTAAAGATAATCTAGTTAGACGTTTTGCATAGTTAAATATATGGTTTGGAGATACCAGAGGGATCTACTTGGGTGGTGGGCAAGAAAAAATTGCTGATGTATATTTTAAGCAGTTACCCCTAAATAGTTTCTCACTTTTTTTTTTAAAGGCAGCATCAGAGGCACTTAACATTATTAACAATATCTATCGGTGGTGTAGGATAGGGGTGCAAACGAGTCGAGTCGAGTTTGAGTTAGGCCTAATTCGAGCTAGACTCGCAAGCTAAATCCTGAGCTTGAACTCGAGCCGAGCTCAAATGGAAAACTCGAGCTCGGCTCGTGCCACTAAAAACAAGCTCACAAGCAGTTTGCGAGCCTTTCGCAGTCGGCTGGTCATCTTGTCTGCCTTCTGTCTTTCGCGGCTTGCACACGCAAACGCATAGCGCACTTCGCCTTCTGCGATTCGCACGCATAGACACCTTCCGCGGTTCTCCCATGCTTTGTCCTCCACTTTTCGCCTTTCACTAGTTCGCGTTCTACCTTCTACACTTGATCGAGTCACTCGAGTAATTTGACTCGAGCATATCGCTGAATTGAACTTGAGCTCGATAATCCAACGAGTTTGAAATTCTGCCCGAGCACGAGCTGGAAACTAGATAAGTTCGGCTCACGACCTCGCTAACGAGTTGAGCTCGAGCCGGCTCGGCTCACTTACACCCCAAGTGTAGGATGATCACAAAGCCTTCCTAAATTCTTTAAATATTTATTTTCATGTGCCTATCTACTACGGTGTTATGATGTATTTAGGTATAATAGTAATTTGTGCTTTCGCCTTATGTAATTGAAACATTTTAAGCCATAATGCTATTCTTTAATTTGAGGTTTTATTGACATACTTAAATCAATGTAAAAGATCTGTAATTCCTTCTATTTTGATGACTAACGAATAATAATAATAATAATTCATAGCCAAATCGTGCATTCTCCTCCTTTCTAATAAGTGCTTTAGAGGTGCTTAATTTCCTTTAGTTGCTTTTTGTTTCAATAATCCATCTTAACCATTGCTATCGTCTATCTTTTTTTTTTTTTTTTTTGTTAAAACTCACACAATGAGGCATACGTGTTAAATAAAAAGAAGGATACAAGTCCTTAGTGAATCAACAGCCCTTTACAAAATACAACATTTGAAACAAAACCTACGAGCCGTCAATCTAATCTAATACAAGAGAAAAAAAGAGCAATAAACACCAAAATAAAGAATAGCAACAACACCAAAAGGGAAAAAATGTCAAGAATGAACAACAACCAAGGAACAACCCAAATCCAGTAGACACCCGATCAGAAGCAACAAAGCAGCCAACCAAGCAACTAGCCAAGGTTCCACACTAAGCAAAGGATCATTGTAAAAAAAAATGGACTCAGACCGCGACCTGGTTGCCAGGGATGTGCCATCCAAGGAGGTAAAAAAGAAAGGAACCAAAATCCCAAAGCGTCGTAACACCAACCAGTTAAACTAACAAGTAAGAACCACCGAGGTTGCCAACAAAACCCTGTGGCCATCCGAGGTGCGTGCAGAATAATTGCTTCATCATAGTCCTATCCTGATCCATCGTCGAAAGAAACGAACATAGCAAAAATAACAGACAAACCATCGCCACCAAACCTCCTTAAAGAACAACTTATTTCTTATTGGATTTACAATTTCTAAGCCTAGCATTGTTTTTGAAACACCCAACATTCTCAATTTGACGATGGCTTAAGATTATTCTCAGAAAAATCCTCACCACCAGAGGAATTGCTATCAAGTAACCAGCCAACTTGCCTCGCAAAGTCTTTCCTCGCCAGGTGAACTAACATATCATCATTGGGGATTACAGTTATAGGGACATCATCCAGCACACCTTCACCGCCCCCTGAATGTAAAGAAACCGAATGATCACCCAACACCTCCACAACATCAGTACAAGAAGGACTAACTATGAGGTTAATGCAACAATTATTATCAATAAGGAAACCATTAGCACCATCCACACTATCAATCAGGGGACTAGCTATCAGATATGCTATCGTCTATCCTATGTGCTAGCATGAAGTATCCAAGTTTGCTTCTTCACTTCTGCAATATCTTATCGTTACTTTTCTTTTTCATTATTTTCATTATTTGTTATCACAGCAAAGTTAATAGGTGCAAAGTTCTCCTTTTCCATATCATTTTTCTTGATCTTTTTTAATCTTAGAAAGCAATCGCAAAGGCTAGTTAGGTCAGGCATTATAATTCATCAAACTTAAACCGCAATAGCCTCCCATACTTCATGCTTTCTCACAAGAACCCATGATTAATTTCTAGTCGCTCTCATTCTTTTTGAGGCTCCGTTTGAGATATCTTCCTCACTGTTTTGTTTTTCAGTCAGCAATCATAATTTTATTTGACTACTTTCTTGATAGTTTCTCACTCATTTTCATAATTTTTATTGTAAAAAATTGCTTTTTGCAAGCAAACTAAGCTTCGTTTGGGACGGCTTTTTTACTGCTTTCTAAAACGGAGTTTTAGTACAAATTTTTTTATTTTTGTAGTAAAACTCCGTTTTAGAAAGCAATAAAAAAGCCGTCCCATTGCAAGCAAACTAAGGCTTCGTTTGGGACGGCTTTTTTACTGCTTTCTAAAATGGAGTTTTAGTACAAAATTTTTTATTTTTGTACTAAAACTCCGTTTTAGAAAGCAATAAAGGCTTCATTTGAGACAGTTTTTTTATTGCTTCTTAAATAACTTTTTACTATATAAAAATTAAATACTAGAAAATTATTTTAAGAAGCAGTAAGAAAGCCGTCCCAAATGAAGCCTGAAGCGTCACGACTTTCTTACGATTTTCTAAAATTACTTCTAGCACAAAATTTCCAATTCAAGAGAATTTATGTACTAAAAATCTTTTTTAGAAAGCATCAAAAAAGCTGTCCCAAATCAAGTCTAATTCTTTGTTTGGATCAGCTTTTGTTACTTTTTAAAGCAGCTTTTTTGTACAAAAATTTTTTATACTAAAAACTATTTTAAAAAACATTAAGAAATTTGTCCCAAATGAAACCTAAGATACATTCCCTACAATAATTTCATAATCATCTTTATAAAAAAAATACAATCGTCCCTAAATATCCAGCAATTCTTAACGGCAACATCTCTTCCTCACTTGCGTTTTCTGTTCATATATTTATAATCAACCAAATAAACATCTAATTAAGCGCATACATCCCAAAGGAATCAATCCACAAAGTTAACCACATTAAGCAAGCATAAAAGAATACGTACCCTGCCGAACAACCTCCCTCGATCTTCCCCCACTTTACTCACCCCTTCATTAAATCTTCATTTTTAAAACAATCTTGAACATATTTTGATATAAATTATAATAAAATGAGCCTAAAAATTACTATATTTATTTTCAAATTTGTTTTAGAAAAACATTTATATTACACTAATTTTAAAGTAAATTCAATACTCTTAAAATACACCTTAATATAAATTATATCATATCATTAAAAAAAAAAAAAAAGCATAAGTCATGCATAGAGCAAAGCATAAAGAAACCCAATGCAAAAGGCCTTTCTTAAGCAATCCTTCTCTTCATCCCACTCACTCTTTTTTATACACATAAAACCCTCCCACACAATTACAAAATACCACCACTTCTTCATTAACAATGGCCGAAACCACCCCCACCCTCATCCTCTTCTTGCTCCTCCACCTTCTCCTTCTCCCCTCCCTCCACTCCCTCCCCCTTCAATCTCAATCCCTAATCCACCGTGCCTGCCTCGCCACCTCTGACTATGCCTCGTGCACCTCCCGCCTCCGCACCCAAATCCATCACCCAGACCCGGACCAACCCGACTCGACCCGCATCCTCCATGCCGCTGCTCACCTCGCCATCAATGAAGCCCTCCGCTCCATCCAAACCATCACAGCCCTCTCTCCCCTCTCCACAACTCTTCGCGAACGGTCTGCCATTGAAGACTGTCAAGACCTCCTCGACTTATCCGTCCACCAAATCAGCCAATCCCTCGCTGAAATTACACTGCTCAACAACGCCCACCATGAAGCCAATCTCCGCACGTGGCTAAGCGCCGCGCTGAGCAACCAAGACACGTGCCTCGAAGGCTTCGAAGGAACCGATGGCCGCTTGAGACATTACGCACGCGCCGGTCTTAATGAAATCACGCAACTTGTGAGTAACTTGTTTGAGGTGTATAAGAGGTTAAGAAGCATAATTCCGAGGGGAAATGAGACGAAGTGGGTTGAGAATGCTGAGGTAACAGGGTGGATAACGGAAGAGGAGATGGAGATGGTGAGGGGAGATGCGAGGGAGATGGTGGCGGATGCAGTGGTGGCGGCGGATGGGACGGGGAGGTTTCGAACAGTGGGGGAGGCGGTGGAGGAGGCGCCGGACCATAGTTTGAGAAGGTATGTGATATTTGTGAAGAGAGGGGTATATAGGGAGAATGTTGAGCTGAAGAGGAAGAAGAGTAATATTATGCTGGTTGGAGAAGGAATGGGTGTTACTGTGATTACGGGGAATAGGAATTTTGTGCAGGGCTGGACAACCTTTAGGACTGCTACATTTGGTAAGCTAATAATTTTTTGCACGCATGCATAATAATATTTTTTGAGGGATTTATATGAATAATTTATATGCATTTATATATATAATTTGATGTGATTTAAAAATTATTTATTATAATATAAATAAATATAAACATTTAAATATTAGATATGTAAATACATTAGAATTATATATATTATATTTACAAATCTCACAATATAAAAATATTACCCTCTTCAATACCTTAAATTTTTTGCCGCCTCCATTAGCGAATAGATTAGGATGCCCGTATTCATTTGCAGTCTCATCATACTCATTTTGCCTTTAACTTCTTCGTCCTTCATATTTACTCTAACAAAAAACTTAAATTTTGAGCGATCTTTTTATCACACTTGGAAGATTTGAGTGATATAATAAGGAGTTTTGTGTCCTAGATGAATGATGATCCAACATTTAAAAAGATAAATGAAAGAGTCAAGATGCATCAACTTTTTAACGTGAAAACTCTAAAAAAGGGAAAAATTTTGATTCCCCCTTACTTTAACCCAATCGTGCGATATATAGATAGAACCATTTACATTGTTATATTAATATCATCAGGATTATGATTCACCAACCTGATATTTCTTTTTATGATGCAACTAAGATCGAAGGAGAATTAAATGCCTAATCTGACATATAAATAAGCTGTCAACATGGATGATTTTTAGTCCAAATTATTCAGTAAAAGAGGACTGTAGAATCAGGATCAGCTTCGTGTTAATGGAAAGTTCCGTCGGTAATCAATGGGCTAAGAACTTAGAGTGGCATACTTGAAACAATGTGTTCGCTCTTATTCGCAGTTGCTATTCCACATAACCTTTGAGTTGATACCTTCCTTACAGCAGCATATATCATCAAACAGTTACCCTCAAAAAATACCAACAATGTTTCCCCATTTCAATTGCTTTTCAATCAATCACCTACCTGTAATCACCTTTGCAAATTTGGCTAACTCTATTATCCTTGTCTTCCTCCGATCCACCATCATAAACTCGAACCTCACTTTATTCCCTATGTTTTCCTTAGATAAACCTTAGATTCTAAATGATATAAATGTTTTGATCCAATCACCAATTATATTTACATCTCTCGCCATGTGCGATTTATTGATTCCATCTTCCCATTCAAACAATAGCAACCACGTCCCTCTTCAAATCTACAAACTTCCCCTTCCATTGTCACTCCTATTTCTCATTTAACTCTAGTTCTTGCTACCGTTACCCCCTATCACCCAATCCTCAAATTCCCTTACTATGTTTTCTCCTCATTTCCCTTCAACTCTACAACCTGCCTCTGTTTCATCTTCACCCAGTCTCATATCAGGCCAACACATTATCACGCCTCCTCCTCCTCGTCGACATCATATGCTCACGTGGCTTCAAACAGGTAATCTCAAGCCCAAGCCCAAGCCCGTCTTTGACCTCCACCTTCAAATATTTCCTCTATCTTCTACCTCCTTCACTCAAGCCAATTAACACCCTGGTTGGCAAGCTGCCATGGCCAGTGAGTCTCAAGCTTTGCAACGTCGAGGAACTTGGACCTTGATTCCTCGCAGTCCTGCTCAAAATCTACTTGGTTGCAAATAGCTTTATAAAACCAAATTTTATTCAGATGGGTCCATAGCTCGTCATAAAGCCTGTTTGGTCACATAGGGCTTCAAATAGGAATTTGAAACTAATTACACTAACATATTTAGTCCTGTTGCAAAATTCCTTACCATTCAACTCCTTCAGATTGCCGCCACTATCTTTCAATGGCCTCTTTACCACTTAGATGTTTCCAATGCATTTTTGCATGACAAGCTGGATGAAGACATTTGCATGAAGCAACCACATGGATTCCAAGACCCTCAATTCCCCTCTCATGTTGTAAACTCCATAAATCCATTTATGGGTCTCAAGCAATCCCCATGACAATGGTTTGCCACCTTCTTCAACCACCTACTACACTATGGCTTCATCGCAAGAAAGGCAGACCCATCCTTCCTCTATTTTCATCAAGGCTCAATTTCTATGTATTTATTGGTCTACGTGGATGATGTGCTCCTCACAGGCAACAACCAGACTGACATCAACAAGCTTTTGCACAACCCACACTCAACAATTTTTATGTAGAATTTGGGGCATCCCTCATTGTTTCTTGGAATTCATATAACCCAACAATATGATGGATTACCTCTAAATCAATCTCAATACATTACCACTATCCTGTATAAATCGGGCATGCTCAATTGCAAACCTATTTAGATCGAGTCCACTCCCATCTAAACTTCCTACCATTACTGCCTCATCCAAACAATTTCAACAACTTGAAGACTACCGACAACTTGTTGGCTCACTGTAGTATATTATGATTACTCGAGCTGATCTCACTTTCTTTGTTAACTATATTTGCCAACATATATACAAAACATCGTAGTTAAAATTTCAACTATTGAAACGTGTATTGTGATACCTCCATGGCACAGTAATCTTCAGTCCTATCACGAAATCAGTTCTTAAAGTTCAGTCCTACGCCGATTCAGATTGGGCTGCTAACACAGTTGATCATCACTCAATTACTGGGTTCTGTACATTTCTTAGAACCAATCTCCTCTCTTGGTCTGTGAAGAAACAATCTACTATTGCTCGTTCTTCCACTGAGGTAGAATACTGGGCGTTGGCTGCAGTTGCTAGTGATCATATGTGGCTCAAACAACTTCTCATAGGATTTCACAATACATCCGCTATTGCCATACTCATGCACGAAGTTCAATGTAGATTTAAATTTGAAACTTCTAGAGTTAAATTCTGGACTTTATAAATTCTAATTTATACAAATTTATAATCAAACTAGTTGGCACAATGAGACAAATTCAACGACACTAAATATGATCTGAATCGAGTTCAATAAACCAAGATGAAGGGTATGAAGCATGATTGAAAACTTTAGAATAATAATAGGGGTCTAAATGATCTCTAAACTTGCTATATGTTTACAGTGATATCGAGCATCTCAATGAGACATATTCAACGAGCCCAAGATTGCGCAATTCCAATAATATTAGCCACTTAAATGTCGAACAAACGCTCAAGGGAATCGTCAAAACCTACCTTTTGATGAAGTGTTCATGGTTTTCTTCATATTTATGAAGTATGTCACTCTAAGTTCTTAGTCGATTGATCACCCACGAAACTTTCCATCAGCACGAAGTTGATCCCGATCTAGCAGTCCTCTTTTGCCGGACAATTTGGAATAATAGTCATCCATGTCGATACATTCTTTATGAAGAAAATTAAGACCTGCAGTAATCGCAGAAAGTAGAGAATTGTAGTGCTAAAGATGTATTGTATTTCTCCATCTTTATCTAATACATCTTACATCTATATATATAAACGTAAAGTAAGGTTTTCTATAATTCAATGATTTCTATAAATGGTGAGATTTTTATATAAAATCTATTTGATAACCTTTAATTTAATATAGACTAAAAAAAATTCTATAAAAACCAATGACATCTTCTTGAAATATATAAGGCAAAAATATTAGTAAAACAAAATTTAGTAATTTTTTATTTATAAATTATATTATCCTAATATGTTTATCCATTTGTATATCAATAGCTGATTTTTTTTTCTTTTTTTTTTCCTTTCTATCCACTAGCCATTTTCAAATTTGGGATTTAAATGTTTTTACTTTGAATTTAGGAGATGCAAAACCTTCATATAATATATAATTATAAGATGACTTAAGGCTTCATCTGGGCTAAAATTATTTTTTAGTACAAAAGCTGATTTAGAAAGCAATGAAAAATCTATCACAAATGAAGTCATAGGCTTTGTTTGTGACGGCTTTCTTACCACTTCTTAAAGCATATTTCTTGTATAAAAAATTTTTATTTTTGTACTAAAAAGTAGTAAGAAAGTCGTCCAAAACAATTTCTGTTTGCCTAATATTTTTTGATTGCTTTCAAAAAAATTTTATACTAGAAAATAGTTTTCTACAATATATTTAAAAAGTTATTTTTTTCAGAACAACTTTAAAAAGTTACCTTCTCCACAACAACTTTACAAAATAATAAGAATGTTTTCCAAAATGAAACATTTATAGCAAAATTTATGTCACCTTCATCCAGCAACCTTTTTTTTATATGAATAGTGTTTTGTTGCTAAACTATTTTGATTTGTGAACATTCTAACTCAGTGTACTAAACAGGACGTAAAATTAGCTCATATTCATTCGATTCAATCTCAACATGGTTTATGTCTGATTATAAGCAAGCTCAACCACGTATTTAACTATTTGTTACCCCATCGATCAATATTCTGATACAATATAATATCTATCTTAAATAAAACAAAATGATCTCGTATATACCCACACGCATATACACATACACATCCATATCCTCATATCATATTTGCATACATTTATTGATCATAAATACTCATTTTAATTACTTTTTACATTGAACAAAACTAATACAATTATGTTTATGTTACCTCTTTGTAGCTGTTTCTGGGCCGGGTTTTATCGCTAGGGACATAACATTTCGAAACACTGCCGGCCCACAAAACCACCAGGCCGTGGCCCTTCGTGTTGATTCCGACCGATCCGCCTTCTTTCGATGCAGCATTGAAGGTTATCAAGATACCCTCTATGCGCATTCCCTGCGTCAATTCTACCGTGATTGCCATATCCACGGCACCATTGACTTCATATTTGGTAATGGCCAAGCAATCTTCCAGAACTGTAAGATCTTCACAAGAAAGCCATTGTCGTTCCAAAAGGTCACAATTACAGCTCAAGGAAGAAAGGATCGTAAACAAAACACAGGCTTTTCAATCCACAATAGCTTTGTATATGCCACTGTGCCGACGTATTTGGGACGGCCATGGAAGGCTTTCTCAAGAACAGTATTCATGCAATCGTATTTAGGGCCAGGCGTGCAGCCTGCTGGTTGGCTTGAATGGGCTGGAGATTTTGCGTTAAATACTTTGTTCTATGGAGAGTATATGAATTTCGGGCCGGGTTCGGGTCTTGTTGGGAGGGTTCGATGGCCTGGATATCATGTGATTAGAGATGCGGCGGTAGCGGAATACTTCACAGTACGACGATTTATCGATGGAGCTAAGTGGTTGCCAACGACAAGGATACCTTTTACTGCAGATTTGATTGACTAGGTTAATTATGACTCTGTAGTTATCAATTTTACATGATAGCTAGCCTATGATTATTTTATAATTATACAATTATTTAAATGGCAAATTGTCTTTTTTTTTTTTCAAAAAATGGAAGAAAATGTAATGATCTAACTTTTGAATCTAGTTTGTTGTAATTTTAACTTTGTTTAATATATATTTATTTACTTACACATTTGCGTCTAAGTGATATATATTTAAATCGGTAAATCAGCTTATTTATTAACATCACCTTCTCGCACACATCAGCGCATTAAAATAAGTGTACTAATAGCATAACGCTGTCTCCTCTCCTTCAATGGTGAGATTAAGTGCGGAATTCGAACGCAAAAATAATTTGATTTTATGATTGTGAACAGTAAAAATAAAGTTAATGTTCACCGCTATGTTTTACTGAGTTTTTACTGCTCACAGTTACATAACCAAATGATTCTCTACATCCAAATTTCGCACGTAATAATTTTTACATTCAATAAAACTACAATAAATGAAGATTTGAAAAGCCAAGCGAAGCACTATTTACTGATAAAAATTTCAAACTTGAGAGTGGAATATGTTAGTGTAAAGTACGTTTTAGTGACCAACAAAATCAACTAGAATTTTATGCAGCTGATCACTATAGTCAAAGATAGAACTATGCTGACGTAATCTGATTGATTTTTTTTTATTATTTAAATAACTGCATTATATATATGTTGGATTAAGTTAACTACAATCTACAGCTATTGATTGTGTTAGATTTCTTTTACGTTTAAGTTTGTAATTCACTAATTTTGTGGTCACAATGAGTAACTTGATTCTATTAATTTTAGTATGATGGGTGAAGCTGGCTCAACGACTATCTAATAGCTTATATTGAAAAAGAAGTATTTGATTTGATTCTCAATGAAGTTGTAATGCAACGCTATAAAAAAATATAAAATAGGTTGATAAACTTGCAAGCATATTGCTCAATTCATTGATCATTATGATATATAAGATATTATTTTGAATTATATATTATTCAATTTATCTCCTTAAATATTAATATATTTGCATGACAAAGTTTGCCTACCCTTAAACAAGAGACTAATTCTGCCTTTACTGGCGACTAGAGATGTGTCAATATTTGATACGACCCAAAAAAATTCGAGTTATAGTCAACCTGTTTCGCAAACGGGTTGGGTTCAGGTTCCCAGATTCGACCCATTTGGAAAACAGGTAAGTTCGGATTGACCTAAAAACCATAACTCAACCCGGGTTAACCCATTTTGAAACATGTTGACCGTGTTTGCCCGCCTATCGCATCATTGCGGACAGCATCTGCCCCTGTCTCGTCGTGTGTTACCCCGTTGTACTGTGTTGGCCTTGCCAGCTGCAGTCGACGCGAGCCCCACCGTCCCGCACGTCCGCCCTCATGCGGGACGTGCGATGCTATAAATTCAACTAAAACATGCATGCATGTTCTTGTCCTTGACTTGTAACAGTAGATTCAATGGCGATGCTTCAATCTTGGCTTCTAATAGCCTCGTTGGTCTATTATGTAATTAAGTAACCGTGTCTCATAAATACCTTATAATGCTGCTACTAATGATAATTAGTAGAGTCCAAACTCAGAAGAAATCGAAAGTTTGGCAAACTATCAATATATATGTGAAGGTCAAAATTATTCCTGAGGAGTAATGGCTCAGTCCGTGGCGGTGCCCTCAAAAGTCATCACCAGCCAAACACTAAACTACTTCTCAGACGCGTTTCTTGGGATTTTGACTTACTAAACATCGCATCATATCCCACTAATTATCTTACTTATAGTACTTAATATTTTTTATAGATACCCATAAATTCATTTTTAAACTTCAATTTATTATTTATATAGAAATTCATATAGCAATTTATTTGGGACGATTGTAGTATTTTATAAATTAGGAAAATTTATATTGTAATGCTCAAGTCTATTGAAACAATTTCAACTGGGCCATGCCGCATAGTTCTTTCTCTCTTTAGGGTTTTTCACGTAAAAAATTTGGTGTACCTTATGACTCTCATATCCTCCCTCTGTATTTGTATATGTGCTAGATTTTTATTCAAAGCTAAGACATTAAGCTCTTTTTCTCTAACGCCGGTAATTCCAGTCCGCAACACTAATTCATATTTAAACTACTAAATAAGATTTTGTTTGGAACATATTTCTTACTATTTCTAAAGCAACTTTTAAATATAAAAATCTGTAGTTAAAAATTTTTTTGTGTTACAAAAATATTTTAGATAATAATTAATAAAAAAAACTATCCCAAATAAAAGTTAAATAGCAGCCAAATTAGCATTCCAAGTAAATTGCATCAATTTATTTTTGAAACGGCATTGCCAGCTTTTAGGTTTGAAGAAGGAAATCTACTGCTGAACTGTTTTAAAGATGGTTCCTCAAGTCAAGACTCGATGACTACTAGGTTTGTAGAAGAGTCTTCGAATTCATCCAAAAATGTGATTTTTAATTATTGGAAGAAAATTGGGCTAAATTAAATTTATGATAATATTAACCTTCCAAATAAAAGTCATACCTATAAATTTAAATATAAAAATTATAAAATAATCCTGAAATTATTAGTGTATAGCAAATTTAATCTCAGAACATCACGTTACTGTAATTTTTTTCGTCGACATACACAGCAAGTTGTTTTGATTAGTAATGACATCTTCAAATGATTGCATTGAACACCACTGGATTTAGTTGGGTTGGTGGGTGAGCATGATTTCCCCCAATCCATATTTGAATACCCTCTCATGCGGCGCGATCCCTTAAGTGGAGAGAAAATAACTGCGGGTCATGCACCTATGGGACTAGTTGCTGATGGGCTCGCCGAGGGACTAGTTACTCCGCCAAGCACCTCCTAAAAGGGATGACAGCATGTAGATACTCCAGTTCAAAAAAAAAAAAAAAATTGCGTTGATCATATATTAAGAGTTAATTTAGGATAATTATTGGTCTGTTTAATTTTTAAATGATAATTATATTGACAATTACAGTTCTGATGTTACATTTGTCTAATTCTTTTATTTCTCCTTGCTTTAAAGTTAAACTGGTTGGCCTGACCATCAACCAACTTTACATTAGAGGTATCAAATAATTACACTATATGATAATCCTACTTGAACCCGACCCAAAAAAAAAAAAAATCGGATTTTGGTTTACCCATTTAGCAAATGGGTTTGGTTTGAGTTTCGAGTTTTTACCTGTTTTAAAAATAAGGTCAAGTTCGGGTCAATCGAGTAACCCAACATCAATCCGGATATAACCCATGTCTCAGGCCATCCACACTCGCTAGTCCCGGCCATGCTAAGTGACCCTCGCGGCTGGCCTACATTGTGGCTTGCCAAGCCCCCCATGCTCAACCCCCC